TTCTACTTAATGCTCATTGTAAAAAATACTTTTATTGCTCCTACATATAGGTACTTAAAATATTAATATTAATAATTTTATATTGTATGAACTTCGCTAAATTTACAATGGAATTTAAATGGAGAAAAGAGATATCTATGAAGATTTTTTTTTATTGTGTTATCAAGAACTGGGGGAGGACTGATGTTGACATGACTTCTCCCCCGGTCCCCAGGGTTTATTGAACAAAAAAAAAACAAAAGTAACCAACATACCTACAATAAATATAATTTATTAAAGTTTAAAATAATTTTAATGTTTTTGTGGAAGTCATTTGATTATGTTCAGAGACATTGAACATGTTTATTTAAGTCTATATCAGGTATAATACTATATTAAAAAAATGATTAAAAAAAACCCTTTAGTCCCCCATGCATGGCTACGCCACTGATTGTATCCATAGTATGATTGATTTATACTGGTGTTAATTAAATCATTAAGGCATTCTTATTTTGTTATTCAATTAGTTATATTTATTTGGTGATAGGTATACACGTAAACACTAAGAAACTATTGGGTCATAATAGGTACAATAGGTACATGCTTACATTTAAATATACTATGTTCATTGTTCATACATATGTATTATATATATTTATAAAAATGAAGTAATTGATAAAATTATGTTATAAGTGTTTGATCAATGGTTAATTATACTTTAAATTCTCACTAATTAAGGTATTGCCAGAATTGGTAGAGTAGGTGCACGACATTAGTATAACACTAAGTAGCAAACCAATAAGACACTAAGCCACTATAAAGTTTAACTTAGATTAAAGTCATTGTCAATATTCAGTTATTAATTATTAGTAGGACTAAGGACACAATAACCTTAAAATGACCTAGATATGTTTGAATTAGATACATAAAATATTAAAAATTAGACATGTATGCACAGTAAGTAAAAATGGTTACACAAAAAATATGAACTCATGTAGTGAAACTCATGCATTTATCATTAAATGTAATTTGTAAACTATATTATAAGCTTTTTTACAAAACTGTTCTGTATTCCTAGCCTTATTCCCCAATATAAATGTAGCAATAACCACAGAAAAATTTAAATTTAAATACAAGACAATGTACTAGCCATTAAATTTTAAATAAAAATTAATAATACTATTATATTAGTTAAATAGAGGTATGGCTCATTAGTCATTTAATGGATTAAATATATTTATATTGTTGAAATATTAATGAATTGGTTGTATGGATCAAACGGCCACATTTAACAATAAACAAGCTGTAAAAACTATATTTATTCAATTGACTTGTGCACAACAGTTTGAATTTGATAAATAAAATTAAACATGTATATATTATGTACATTTTTTAAATTGTTAATATAAATAATATTTAGAATCTGTACAGTTATAGGTATAATAAGTAAAGAGGTATCAGTGGAATGTTGGAAAAATCAGGACCAAGAAGGGAAGTCACCTAGACTCTAGAGCATAGATTAAATATACATGTATATTTAATCTATGCCTAGGGACAGTACTACCAAGTGAATATTTATTGAGAGTAGGTCTATTGCAGTAGCATACACTGGGGGAAGGTGTTCAATCCCGACCCCCTTTGTTTTTTTTTACTATATGTATAGACTATAGATGCATACAAACTAATATTATATAAAAAATACTTTGATATATAGTTATACACAGGGAGATTCACCAAGCATCCTCACCCCTTTTTTTCTTCAATAATGCAGTTATTCAAAATCTGACTTTTTACTTTTTAAATATGCTTGAAGACCATATTTCCAAATTCTTGAGATTTCTTGTACTACTTAAGGATTGTCCTGTGGAGATACTAACTTCTGTTGATTAGAACACCATTATTCAATTATAAATTATACAGTAGATAATTTTTCTGAAATTGTGGATACATCAAAATTAAAATTTGTACGAGTAGTTTGTGTGTTATTTGATTTTAAGTTTTAAGGATAAAAGGTCCATAGTAATGAGTTTATAAAATATGGGGGCTATGGTGATTTGAAAATTGTATTCATTAGTATAAATTTATCGATATTAATAATTTGTGAAATTAGCCGAAATATAATAAATACTAGATCTCCAATTGCACATGGCCAATTTGTCAATTATAGCTATTTTATATTTACCAGTTTTAAGGACTATTATCCTTAATACCATTAAACAATAGAAATACAAACATTTTAATACCTAAGAAACAACTCTTTCGAATTTTGAATGTGCTACATCAAAATGTTCAAAAAAAAATTATCCACTAATTAATTTATAGTAAAAGACGGGGGGTTCTCGTTTGAAAAACAGAAGTTTGTATCACTATAGGACACTCCTTAAGTAGGTAGTACAAACAAATTTAAAAATTTGAAAATATGATCTTTAAGTACATTTAAAAATTACAAAAATCAGAATTTCAATAAATTCATTATTAAAGAGAAAATGGGAGTGAGTAAGCTTGGCGAATCACCCTGTAATACTTTTTTTTATAGACCCCTTTACCCATTGAAAATAACTGTGTACACCACGACTGGCCCCTTGCACAATTTATAAAAAATAATAACCTATAAAGAAGTACTTACATATTTTAATTAATAACTAGTTAATTTAAATTAGCCATCCAGTATTCAACAATATTGAAATATATTATAATATATATAATTATAGTATAGTAATTATATATAACAATATTCAATAATATTGACGGCTTTTAAATACTCATAAATCATAATACATATTATTTTGTTTTTATATGTTAAATAGAAGTGTAGATCATTAATAAATTAACTTAACTTAGGTTAACACTCTAGGTGTCCAGAACTCACATATAAACCAAGAATGTTGTCTACAGGGTGATCCAACAAGTATGCTCACCCCCTTTTTTTCTTTAATAATGAAGTTTTTCAAAATCTGATTTTTGGAATCTTTAAATATACTTAAAGACCATATTTTCATATTCTTGAGACTTTTTGTGCCACTTAAGGAGTATTCTTTGGTGATACAAACCTTTGTTTTTCAATTGAGAACCCCACTATTTTTCTTTAAATTATTTAGCAGATAATTTTTTTGAGAATTTTGATGTATCAAAATCAAAATTTGAACGAGTGGTTCCTTAGTGATTAGACAATTTGTACTAAGGATAATAGTCCATAATAGGGATATGCTTATACAGTTCTACACATGGAATAAGAAAAATAACTAAATAAATCAAGTAGGATTTTACTTGCTATTTACCCAAGTGTTTGACTAAATAAATATAAAATGACGTATTATTTTATATTATGAGTATCATAGATAACAATGTATACTGTATAAGCATATCCTTCTTCACTATTATAAACTACTTTATCCTTAGCACAAAATGTGTAATAACTAGAAAACTACTTGTTCGAATTTTGATTTCAATACATCAACATTTAAAAAAAAAATTATCTGCTAAATAATTTTCAGTGAAAAAGTGGAGTTCTCATTTGAAAAACAAAAGTTTGTATCGCCACAGGACACTCCTTAAGGCTTAATTGGTACAAAAAATCTCAAGAATACGAAAATATGATCTTTGAGTAAATTTAAAGATTCCAAAAATCAGATTTTGAAAAACTTCACAATTAAAGAAAAAAATGGGGGTGAGCATACATGTCGGATCATCTTGTACACTCCATTCAAAAAGAAAAAACTCAAATTGCCAACCGGTTTTCATCCTGTACTTTGCATTTCCCACTGACGGTTAAGCCACAATAAAAAATCAAACAAATTTGTACCTTTGTATTTGGGAAAGTATTGACAATGTTACTGTGAGAAAGGTGGGACATAGGGTAACTGGAAAGTCATGGAGCATAAGTCTTGGCACTTCCATAGTTGTCAGTCTTGATGAGCAAAAAGTAGATATGTATTTTCTTTTAGAATGGAGTTCACACGTTTTATTATTTATTAGGCATAAAGGTTGAACACATAATATTTTTTAGGTGCGATATAATATACTTGTTATTAAAAGGACCAGACTAAAAATAAAATGCTTACTGGGTACTGCGAAACGACTTGCGCATCTGTAGGGTCAGATATGGGTAATTTTTCTTGCATGGCTGAGTTGTTTATTCATGAGTCTTCAATTGATTACTGACTACTGAAAAAACAACAATTTGTTGAGCAGTACCGAATGAATAATAATGAGAAAGAAAAACAGCTACACTATACATAACTTATAGCTCCTTTTGAGTAGAATGACAACAAAAATAATACTATAATATAGGTAATAATTGTAAATTATAATGATGAATGATGAAGGGCAATATATTTGAATTAATAAATAATAATATTAACAATATTAAATACCACCACTACAACAATGTATATTATGGGAACAAAGAACGATGTTGAAGAGCGGCTCGCGTGTCAGTCAGAACTTCAGAAGAAAAAAACATTAAATAACGATCAAGGGAGTACATGGGTCATGGGTACATACCCGAGTGCACTGGCCCAAATGCAAGTCGCAGACACGACGTTCTGTCCGGACGACGACCGCAACGTCATGAAGATCGCAATGCTCATGTCGCCGTCTTCCGACAGGTTCAACGTATCCTGTCCGCGCGTGTCGTGTACTCGTGTGTGTGGCCACTGGCCGTTGAGGAACAAGGTTCGTGGCGCGCACAACACACTACACCGTTCACACGCAGGCACGCAGCACTGCCGCCTGCCACACAAAGAAATCGTAAATCGAACAAAAAAAATGAGGAAATAATGATAGGACAAGAACAGCGAAAGACGGCACTACGGCAGCGAGAGCGGCCGAGCGAGCGCGACTGAGCAGTGAGCGGCGGTCGCGTCGCAAACTCGCAACTCGCAAGGTGTCGCAGGCCGGGGCTGCAGCACCGTACCAACCATAGAAAAGAGTTTAACCAAGTATCTCATATTATAGTTGACGTCACTGCGCTGCGTTCTTATCATCAATAGATTATAAAACATCACAGAATGATAATAAAAGCAATACAGTATATTTTTATGGTTACAGATAATACATTATGTATTGACTATAGTCTGTTCTGAATGACATCGGTACAGCGGCCGTACAGGCGATTACCTACTGCGCGGTGCGCATGAGTTGGGCTTTGTTCTCTGTAGTCACTAGTCTGCACCAATCTTATTTTAAACAGACTTTGGATCTATTTATATTGCATTAAATGTATTATCCACAGAATCGAGAGCAAATCTTAACAGAGGTATTATCAATGTATTTATCAGAGTAATAGTATTTACAAAGACTAAATTATACTGTCTTGTCTTCATAGTGTATGGTATTGTCATAGACACAAAAAACAACTACCTAGATGGCAGACCGCATATACCTTCCCACAGGTACGTTGAAGTCGTGCGGCCATAAGTCAACAGGACAATGTTGAATGTATACAAATTAATTACACGTCTACACAACAATACTCTATGTCTCTATGAGACTGCGGCTGATAAACTAACAACTGTTCACACCATAGAGTTTAAAGATTTTATCTATGGTAGTACGAAGCCACGACGGACTAAAATAAATTATGCATAAGAATAATCTTTTATGTCTATGATGAAATACGGAACGCAGTAAAGATACTATAGAATATAGATAGTATCTACCAGCAGAGAGTTCAATATCAAATGCCAATGTGGTTTTCATTAATTATAGACGTACAGTCAACAATAATTGTCTACCTACTTGCGCCATTCAAAGCTGGTAGTTATTACCCAATACTATATATACTATATTATTTACTAGAGGGGCCTTAATATAAATCATTGAGTATTATTATATCATAGAACAATAAATATACAGTTAAGTAATAACTAAAAATATATGCTCAATGATACAATATTAATATAACTTGACAGATTTTGACAAAATTAGTCAAAAACACTATAAAATGTACATGTAGTTTAAAATGTATAAAATGTTCAATTTGTACAACTAAGGAATGACAATTTGAAACAATGTTTATCATAAATTACAAAAAAACTCTAAATACATGTAAAAACACAATTTTTTTTTTAAAATTTGGACGAAACTTAGAGTCACATACCGCATTTTTGAAATTCAACTGAAAATATAACACAAAAGTTATTATTCTTATATAATTTGTAACCACAATTTCAAATTTGTGCAACCCCCTCCTATAATTGATTTAAAATTTTAAAGATTATAGAGTTAAATAAATGAAAATAAAATTAAAGGGATTCAATCTGACCCGCGTATTTTAAGGAGCAAAAAAAAATATATGTACAAGTACAATAGTATATAATATAATATTACAATAAGTAGTTCATTAAAGAGCTATTTTTCAGAGGCCACTCTTAAATATCTCGTAAAAAAAATGTACCACAAAGTCAACTAGAGTTAAGTTAGTGAAAAAAAAATTGGATGAGGAGCATGGGAAGCTACAGTCCAACACATTTAAAATAATAAAAATAATTAACAAAAACTAAACAATATTTTTTTGCAACTGTTAGTAAATATAGCTTAAAAAGTTCCAACATATTTTAGAATAATATAATTTATATCATGTCTAGTTGTTGGTAGTATAATTAATTTATGGTAGAAAGTTCAAGGCTCTATATTTCATACTTTAGAATAACAACAAACAGAAAATCGTTTTTTTGTCAAAATCTTGATTTACAGAAAAATGCCTGTTCTTGTTTTAGATCCCAAACTAATTTTATGAATATAGGTAATACACTAATATATTTATTTTAAAATTATGTTTTTATTGTCTGTATATACACAATATAAGTAGGCAAAATAATTCTTTGATTTTTCACTTAAGTATTTTTTTCTAGTGAAAAAATAAATCTAGTTAGTACTTTTGTGAGGTCGAAATTCAAATTTTCTAGGAATCCTTATAAGATTCGGGGAAAACAAAAAATAAGCTCGCAAGTGAGTAATGCTCTGCTGTATATATAAAGTGTCTAGAGAAGTCACTGTAATGGATTTCTGAAATTTGAATTCTATTTTGTAAGTTCAAATTTTTTAGGACATTGGATATTATTAAAGTTACCTACCCATAAATCAATAATTTCTCAACGAACGATTTTCTTATTTTGTTGTAATTTAATATTTAAAATCAAATAACCGTATACTGTATACAGATACTAGCAGTTTTGGGCGGTGGCTAACGCTCCCGATTTTTAAGACTAGTAACTATTCTGATGGTAAACTCTTCCAGGTCAATATAATGATTACCCGAAGGAAATGTGTAAACTCTCCCGAGTTGTTTTAAATGTTGTCTTACGAATAATGCCCCATGCCCCCATGCTCCCCTAGCTAAGTAGTACTGAAGTAATGTAGACCCGGGAGAGTTTACATGTTCCCGTCAGTTAGTATTGGAGTAGATCCGGGAGAGTTAAGAGTTTACATGTTATTAAAATCGGGAGAATTTACAATCGCCTGTAATTTTCACCTAGTACTTTTGAATACCGATAAAAGTTCCAATCTCTGGACTTGCAGCTGTTCCGTGCTCCGGTGGCCGGTGATTATGATCTAAGGTTCTATACTTAAATTTCTGATCTGTAGAATCCATAGACCATAGACCTATAAAGATCAATATAAATAGGTTAATAGTTCTATGGTAGAATCATGCTGAAAGACGCGGCATGAAAGACGGAGCTGGCAACACCGCCACTAAATCAAAACAAACCGCCAACCGGCAACGTTGCGGCCGATAGATAATACAGATTACAGAGTTGCGGCGCGCCAGCGACTTTGATATAAATTCAATTTCAATTTCAAATTTTCAAATATTGAGTAAATAATCCGAAATACTAATTTAAAAATAAAGTCCACAGAAAATCTATTTTGGAAAGGAAGATGACCGTTAATCTAGTCCAGGAGTTCGAATACTCGAGCAAGTTTATATCTTGCGTATCAGTCGACAATTCGTTCGTCTTCTCGACGGACGTTGGCCTGTTGATCGTTGTACGTATATCGCTGTATTAGGTATAACCTTATTCCGTCGGCTCCCTCGGAATTCTCAAGAAGTTCCGGCAGTGTCTCTTGATACCACAAGAAAAAAAAAGCCATAGCCTCCCTACATAAATTCATCATGCTATGCTTATGATACCCATACATTATTTTATTTTTATAGGACATCCAGTCAGACCTGTTCAGGCCATCTGTGGACTACAAGGTATTCAGGACATCAATCCCATTCTCGAAGGAGAAACCTTTTGAAGATAAAAATTTCAAAGAAATACGTTTCCAAAGACCAGTGGTGTGCCAAGAACACAATTTAACAGTGTATCCCAACAGTCGGAAGTAAGTAGGTATATGGATTTGTTTCCAATCATTTTAATGTATTATCAAGGTTATAATCAAGTGATCCAGCAAACAAAAATGGTTGGGCTTAATTTATAGATATTATACGCATGGGGAGTTTGATAAATTGTATAACTTATTGTAAGCTGTGGGTACAAAAAGGAGTAATAAAAAGGTATTAATAAAATATGAAAAATGATTTATGGTTTTAGGCTTGATAAACTTTCCGGTATCGTTAGATTAGGCTACTGAAAAAGTTTACACTAACTATATTCCTGTTCATTTTTGAGGATGACCTTTGAGAAAGCCTTTTATACCGAAAAAATTAATAGGAATATAGTCACAACAGCCTTTAAACCTGAGAATTTAGTGTAAGAAACAATTTTTTTTTTCCGTTCAAAAATAGTAAACATACATTCTTCTTTATTTTTACACTAATTTTTGGGTATGTATTTAAGCATTTTAGTATATTCATACTTTTTTAGTTGTTTAAATAGCACATTTCATGGAAATGTGGTTTTAATTTTAAATAGTATTATTTGAAAAATTAATGAAGTGCGTGTGTTTGAAAAATATAAATCTATAAATAATGAATTATTATTTTTGTTTTTTAATTCAAATTAAATCAAGGGAATATTAAATAAATATTTGTTAAAAAGTCATTATTAATGTTAAGGTAATTAAAATCCTTATCCTAAATCTATTAAAATTATTTGTAGTTTAAAATAAATTAGGCGACAAATGTATTTAATACTATATCTTTTGATATAGTTAAAATAACTAAGTTAATTATGAAAAAACTTTGATTGTTAGATGCTGTTATTAATTATAATATTTTATTTCAGTTGGCATGTCATTTATATGGGAAACAACAGCAATATAGTGTTTTTAGAAAGAAATAATAATAAATGGATAGAAAAATTAAGTGACATACCACAAAAATGGTTTTTGATAGTATCTCAGAAACCTTGTTTCATAATAGACAAAAAGAATCTTAATCTTTTTAAAACTGAAAACCGAATTCTTCATTATTGCCGTGAAAAAGAAAAGTCGTTACAAATTAAAAGTAAGATTTCATTACAACTGCAAATTTAGTAATAACACTTCATTTCATTAGGTAATATTTTATATACTATAACTATGAATTGTATTAAATTAATGATATAAATTATAAAATACATTATACATAACATATTACAAAATATTATACATTATTATAGATCTAGTGGTATTTGAGTTGTTTACATTATACACATTATGATTAATTAATCATAACATAACCGAACCAGCATTTATTAAATCTATTTATTTTTTACTCTTATGATTTATTTAAATTTCAGATTTTGTTTTTACTCATACCTTGAAACATGAAAATGAAACAGAAGTTTATGGAACCATATGTTGTCATTTAAATAATATGTTGACATTTTGGTCAACTTCATCAGAAAAATCATTTTTTTTGAAAGAATTTGAATTTCATACTGTTTCTATAAAACATATTAAATGGTTTCAGATATCAAGTGAATTATGTATGTATAGTATTATGTTAATAAAATACATTTTAGATTTTATTTAATTTTATATAAAAAATTAATTTGTTTTATATTATTCTATAATTACAATTTTTTTTTTTAGCTTGGTTAGTGGTTTCTTTGACAAATGGTCAAGTTTATGTTCATGAAATATTGAATTATCCTAATGTGCACTGTACATTTATTTTGTGGCCGGATGAAGATTTTGCTTGTGTGAAAAACATTCGAGTTGAAAGTATTTCAAATGATAAATGTCTCATATTTTTTACAAAAATGTCATTTGTATTGGTAATGTTGTATTCATTATCCGAAAAACAAATTTTATCGACAAAAAAAGAAATGATTCCTAAGACTGCAATTATAGCTGGTAACCTAACTTTTTGTTATAATTTAAATAATAAGTTGTGGGAGGATTGTTTTATTGACAATATGCTGAGTAGGCATTCATTTGTCAAGGCGAGTTTACAACTCAAAATTGATCGAGTGTAAAAAAATATCTCGTGCACATGAAAGAGTTGCAATCTTAAGTTAATTGGTATTCTCATTAGAAATATTCAGGTTTCAAGATATTTATAGTTTTTATAATATTATTATTCCATTGAAGCAGACAAGTACCTTACAAGCATAAAAAAATGTAATTCAGTCGAGTACTTGAACTCTACTCAAAAGTTTTTTAAAATAAAATACTCTCTTAATTATACTAACTACAGTTTTGTTTATGTTTAGGTTTAACAATTGTATTAGAAAAAAATTTGGTAATACTAGTGACAGATGTTGGCAAATTTATTTGTTTGTATTTTTCTGCTATAAAATCAGAAGTAACTTATACTTTAAAAATGGTGAATGATAATTTTAGTGAACAAGTTCAAAACTATACTTGTACATCAGTAGTATTTTCAAAAAATGAGTGTATTTGTGTCCTCACATTTCAGTAAGTTTAAACGTTTTTATGATAGAAATGGTTAATTGTGTAATGATAAGTTATGTAATATTTTAGGTGCAACATTGCCAAATATAGTAAAAATGATGGTCATGTTAAAAACAAATTGCTATTTTGTACAATTCCTGAAAACTTAGTGGAACTTGAGAGAAAAATTTTATCAGTAAATAATTGTAATTATGATAATGTTATTGATTGTATTGAGACTCTAAGGTACAAAGCCAAAAATATAATTATTACAATTATAACCTATTAATATTATTTATCTTATGTTTATTGTGTGTTTTCAGAATTAATAGAATGGATGACAATTCAAATAACGTGTGTCAGTTAGATAGGAAATCATTAGACAAATTATCCATCCAACATCTTAAACTTACTTATTGGAATGTAGCCTTTAAAATTAAGAAAAATGAACACGATGAAAATATTTTACAAGAGTTACAAATGTTACTTCATACTCGTCATTTGATTAGTTATTTTTCTAATAAGAAAAAAAAAATTAAAAAGGAGGATCAATATTATTGTCGAACAATGCTATCATATTATGTGAATAAACTATCAGTAGAATATGTCCAAGTTAAAGTGGATGCTACTAATTTAATTGGTTCTTTTAGTGGTGCTAAACATACCTACTTTTGTAACACATGTGAAACAATTTTGTTATCATTTACAGATTTCAGAATGTTTGTTTGTGAACAACAACACAAAGAACTTAGATGTCCTGTTACTTTAGGACCACTCGGTATGCCAAGTTTGGTGTGTTCTATGTGTTTCACAATGGCTAATGTTAATGCAGGTAAGCATTTCATCTGTAATTTTTATTTTTTGAAAAATACATTATATTTGTATAATGTAATAAAATCTGTAAAAAATTCAATTGTTCCAAATTATAGTTAAAAAATCAAATGTTGTATCTTAAGCACAGCCGCACGGGGTGTCCTGTCTCATTATAGAGAAATGGCGTTTGGGTTAATGTTGAGTAACCGGTATCTAGTGACAAGGTTGAGTACCAGGTGTACACTGTTCAGTGACATAGTGTTGGGCCCCGGCTCTATGAAGTATGAATAGAGTAGGTAGTTGAGGAGTCAATAATTCTGCAGTTTAGTCCTTACTTGTTAGTGTTATATTCAACACCAATACGGTGTAAGGCTGAATGAGATTTTTTTTTTTATTTAAATAAACAAATATACAGTTTTACATTAATTGTACATTTGAATTATCTATCTTCTGTAAGCTAGGCTTGTGGCGAAGATAGAGAGTTATAAATTGATACATATTATGCTTAAAAGCTAAAAAGAAAAACTAAAACACTATTATTGCTTAATTATACAATACAAAAAGAGATAAATAAAATATAATACAATAAGGTTAACCTAAGTTACATTTAAAGATACATGTAGCCAATCATTAATTAATTTTTTAGCGTTGTCATATTTGTANATATCTGTAATTAATATTAACATTCTTCTTTATAGAGAAAGGCATAGAATTGTAATATATAGGACCCAGATAATCAACAAATTTTTGACCAACTGATTTTTTACAAAGAGATGTTTTAGCATCAAAAGATCGAAAAGCTCTTTTGTTACTAATTTCATTTTTCTCTACCCATTGATCTAAGTGTTTGATCACCCACATAATAGCCATTTTTTTGAAAACAAAGTCAACTGGTAATACATTGAACTCTTTAAAATTAAGACCAGTTGAACCAACATAGTTTGTTTTTTGTAAACATACACGCACTATCTGTCGTTGATGAAGCAGTAAAGGTTTTAGAGTGTTATCCGAGAGCCCTCCCCAGATTAACAGTCCATACTGAAATATTGTTTGATATAGAGCTAAGTATACAGTTCGCATGATATGAACAGATATAATTTTACATAGCTTATAAAAATTGTAATTTAAACTTCGTAGACGCATGACTATGTTATTCACATGAAGATTCCATCTAAGGTGATTGTCAAACGTTAAACCTAGATATCGGGTACTAGATACTCTAACTAATTTTTGACAGACTGTGCCATAACACAATGTTCCATTATGACAGAAATGTAACGTAAGTTCATCAAAATTATCTTTAACATCGTTTATCGAAAAGTTCATAAACATAGTTTTTTTAAAATTGATAGATAGACTCCTAAGTTTTAAAAATTCCACAAAAATGTTGGATTCTCAAGTTGCTTTGGTACTAACATCGCACCAAGAGTCTCCACAATAGAGTAAGCAGGTGTCATCTGCATATGTAACTATTCTTCCGTCAATGTCCAAATTACACATATGATTTATGTACAAAATAAATAAGAGTGGACCTAATACACTTCCTTGAGGAACACCGCAGTTTATAAATAGATCATCACCTGTAATACCATTAATACGAACAGTTTGCTTTCTGTTTTCCAAGTAGCTTGTGAACCAAATTAAGCTTGTTACAGTGATACCAAAATTAGGTAAAATATTTATTAATTTTTTATGACTAACAGTATCAAAGGCTTTGGACAAATCAAGAAAAATCGCGATTACTTTCTTACTGTTGTTTAACGCGTTTTTTATAAAGTGTGTTGCACTATATAAAGCATTCTCCGTTCCCAAACATGGTCTAAAACCAAACTGCTGTTTCGAAAGGAGTTCATGTTTTTTAAAAATGTTATGAGCCTGTTTTTAACGATTTTTTCTAGAATTTTCGAAAAATTGCTAAGCATGAGATACAAATTAATAGTTACTATTCTTATATTTTAAATAATTTTCTATATTTTATTTTACATCATTTTATGCAATATTATATATATATATTGTGACGCAAAAACAATGTTAATACGTGAATATTCTTAAATTTCAAATATAAAACTTTTTACTCTTTACAATTTTCAAAATTATAATTGTCATAATTTTACAAAAATTATATATCTACTAATTATTTTATTTTTTCCGCATATTATGTTATATAACTTTTTGTTTTGGTTGAGAAGTAAACCGGGCGAAAAGGGAAGGGTATGTTTTTGGTCGAAAACGATCTAGCGCAAAATTTCACGCGGTAAATAATTGCGGCTAATTTTAATGTTGTGAGAGGTTGGTCGGACGAGAACTCCCTAGAAGATGCATGGGTACACGAGGTCCAGTACACCAATGAATTTCTTTTATGGGGTTTTGTGAAAAATCTTGTTTATCCATCGTGTTCATTGCCTGATCTCCGTCAAAGAATTGAAGACATTAGAACATTTTAAGAATGATAGTATCCAAAAACTTCAACTCTATGTTACAAATAATTGTGGTCACTTCGAACATTTATAAAAAAAAAAATATCAGTGTGATTTAAAAAGTATTTAAATGTATTTTTCCTATGTAACATATTAACCTATATTCTTAGAATTCTAAATCATAATATAATATTATGATGTATGATAATATATATTAGTCATAATATAGGTAATGTAATTTTTTTTTAAAGTGTTTTAAAAAGTATGATCAACAGTTCTAGCCATTTTAAAAATGTATAAAACTTAATTGCATAAAAAAAATTTTTAGTACCTAGTTTTTGAATTTTTGAAAAAAAAATCAAATTTTATGCCACATTCAATCAGGATTTTCATATTTATTTCTGTAATACTGTATAACAAACCACATTTAAATATTTTGTGGACATACTGTATAATATCGTGGTACAACGATAACGAAAGTTTAATTTGTTTTGACTTTACTGCCACCAGTGCTACTTGTATTTCTGAGTTCCTCTCATTGCTTCTTCCAGAAGAATAGTATCGATTTTCTGTTCCATTAAATTTTTGAAATATTCATAAATTTATATCCGTGAGTAAGTTATTAAAGCTGTTTGTTCCTGTTGACACTGATCATTACCCTGTAATATGTATTACAATACCTAAATTGTCGCCATTGTTTACCTCTATTTGTGATCATCATTTTAATTATTTCTTGGAAGCTGATTTCTGTTGTATTTGCTTGTTTATTTTATTTTATGACTGGTCTTCTACTTTTAGATTCCGAGTGGAGCTATAAATATATTTATTTTACAATGATGCGTGTGTGTTATTTTTGAAATGTTTTTGTGTTGGAGTACACGATAAGTAGTTGAAATGATGCTTCGATTTTCACCTTCAATACCTTTTCTGGTGGGAAAGTAAATCTTATTGGTGCATTTGGGAGTTAAAAATTTAAAAGTCCCAGTAGTTTTCAAAAGCACCCAGGGGAAAAAAATGTATTATAAACCTGGAATTTTTATTTTGGTTTATGGTGTTATTCTAAAAAAAAATCTGTAGATACATGAAATGTTCATTGAAAGTTTTTATTTGCATTTTCTATTTACGATAACATTTAAAAAATATTTTGACTCATTTTGAGCTATTTATAAGCATCAGACATTTTTGATTTGTATTTAGTGTCAGTAAAAAAATTTCGTTGTCAAAAAACTTGAAAATTTAATACAAGATTTCTCATAAAACTGTATTTGTGCAGAAAAACACAGTAATCTACTATGTTTTTTGTCAGTTATGATGTATTGCTATTAATAATTTAATTTTTTATTTTATTGCAGAAAATCAAAGTTGTGTTTGGTGTTTTGGAAAATATGTACCAAACAAACTACTATTCTAAGTTCAAGAAATCAATGTCCATATACAAAATATGTTGATTGATTGCATACTCGTTGTACATTTACATTTTATAATATTTTTAAATATTATTTTTAAAAACAATAAATACTGTAGATAGTATTAAGTTTTGTTATTTACCTTTATACAGTGTGATCCAACAAGTATGCTCACTCCCTTTTTTTCTTTAATAATGAAGTTTTTCAAAATCTGATTTTTTGAATCTTTAAATATACTCAAAGACCATATTTTCATATTCTTAAGATTTTTTGTACCACTTAAGAAATTTTCCTCGTAACTTTCTTAATTTTTTCTTATATAATAATCATCTGACAATAACAAATACAACAAAAAAAGAATTAGCAAAATCGGTTCAGCCGTTCACGCGTGATGCTGTGACCAAGGTAAATGGTATTCATTTTTATATATAGACATATATTATTATAATGTTGCTCCCCTTTTAAATGAGCAACAAAAATATGTCTACGATACGCTAATGAAAATAGTGAAGGATGGAACTGGTGAATATTTTTTTTTCTTAAATGCTCCCGGTGGGACTGGGAAAACGTTTTTAATATCATTGGTAGCTATATATATTTTTTTAGCTAACTATTCTTTCTAGCTGACCTAACAGACGTCCTGTTTGGTTACAAAGACGTGGCTGGTTTATATTTCTCAACATAATGATTATACCGATTACAGCTCAAAATTACAATGATTATGTATAGTTGAGCGAAAGAGTTATATCGGCTGCAAAAAACATTGATGTCAACGAAATTAATTTTCAGATTCAAAATAAGATAGCTGGCAAATTAGTGACGTATAAATCGATTGATTCCGTTACTTATCAAGATGATGTTGTCAACTATCCTACGGAGTTTAATGGGAAATTAAACATTGAATTCACTCCTGATGAAGTGAACATGAATTACGCCCCTATCACATCTGTTAACGTAGAATGGTCTTTTAGTCAATTCAAGAATATTTTCGGACTAAACCGTCGCAATTTTTCATTTGCAAACCTTCAACAACATGTTGTTTCTCATTGCTTTGTTCTGGAATAATACCCATAGTTTTATAAACCTGCATTATTTGTCTTACTTATATTTTTTTTTGTAATTTTCAATGCTTATGCTTTTCTTCGATATTTACATATCATTAATTTTTTTTATATATTTATGTACATATTTTATTATTTTTTTATTGCAATAAAGTCTGTTCCCTATTAATGAGTATCTGAGTTTGTTGTGTTTAGATTCCTGTATGAGTGACTGTTACGAATTTTTAGTTTTTGGATACACACTGTAGTCATGTTTTTCTAACCAGCAATCCAGGGCAATTTGCAAAATAAACGCCTTATAATACCGATTACAAATTTAATAAAGTTTAAAAATTTTAAATTTGCGCTCTATCACAATCAGACGCCCGGGGCAACAACATCACGCTGTTGCCTCCCTCCTCTATAGGGGCATAAATACGGCCTTGTAACAATCTTCTTGATCACTGGTGTTAAGAGGATATACACCCACTTGACGTGTTGTCTCCGCCTTACAAATGTAGGTACTACATAGCAAGAACAAAACTGTTTTGCGTGGAATAGAAGTATAGAGCCACTCGCTTTGTAGTGATAGATAAGACTCCAAATTAAAGTACAATATAGTTGAGAATATTATCTGTTAAATATCGGTTTTTATTTTTTTGATAGTTCATTTATGGTTAGGATAATTAACTAATATGATAATTTACATTAACTCAGCTGGTGCTCAACATTTGAAGAGTTTTATTGGAACGGCTGTATGACATAAGAGCCAAAGGTACAAAAATTACATATCATTTGCGCCAAAAAATGTAGAGCATAAGGCCAATCTAATATTTTATACCTGTTATACCCAACTTATGACATATGCGCCAAAGGAAGGTATACATAATTTTCATAAATTGTTTGATTTTTTAAAAAATTGTCAATAATATATTACATACAAATAAATATAATTTTAAAAATTGGTTGATTTCTACAAATACGCAGATTAAGATTAAACATTTGAAGTTTTTGTACGATATAGTTCTTAATTTAATATCTGTTACACCTATACCTAACCTTCCTAGGATTTTGGAGTTTTCGTACGATCCGACCTATTTTTGCTTATCTCATTTTGGCGTTTATGTCTTCCACCGGTTTGAACGTTTAGAATAACGATTTTTTACAAAACACGGGGAGTAAAAATGAACGAAACCAAATCCATCCACGGTACCTTTGCACTTCGTCATGGAGTATGCCCAACACTTTACCTCAATAATCAACCACTTCCCCCTGCGCAGTGCATACGTTACCTTGGTATTCTTATTGACCGCCATCTCACCTGGAAACCTCACATAATCAGCAAAATCCGTACACTTAATGACCGCTTTCGACTCCTTCGTTTACTTCTAACATCAAAGCACATGAAACTCTCCAATAAGCTCCTGCTTTACAAACTCCTACTCAGACCCATCTGGACTAATGGGATTCAACTATGGAGCGCTGCCAAAATTTTTAACATCAAACGCATTCAAAGATTTCAATCCAAAACTCTACGTACAATTCTAAAAGCACCATTCTATGTCTTTAATCCTCCACTCTGATCTCAAAATACCATTTGTCTCTGAATTAGCCAAAACTCACTATAAACGTTTCAATAGCCACCTAGACCTAGCTACACCATAAGAATCATTTAATCTCCAATCTACCATCTGCTTCTATCCCAGGTAGTCCAGTTAAAAGACTTAAAAGACAGTGTTGTCGTGACCTGCTAGCCTAATTTAGCCCTACTCATGTCGTAGGTGCCTCCCATCGGAGGTACCTACATTCGGTCTAATATGTCGTTATTTATTTTAATTTAATTTTTTTATTTATCTAATTCATCAATTGTTCTTATTGTTCTATTTTATATTGTAACAGGTTGAATAAAAAAATCCTTTAATAACAAAAAAAAAAAATGACGATTTAAACCTATGCTCTACAGGAGTGAAACATAATGCATAGTAAGCCAGTTGGCTGTTTACATTTGGAAATTCTAGGTCCTTCTCCCAACTATTAATTTGTATAAGGTGATTGTGTTAGGCCGCACTTATAATGAATTCGGGCAATGTTAATTTTCTGGGCACTAGTGAAATTGATCAAACTTTCCTTTAACATTTCCGGAAAACATTTGACGTCATTAACTCATATTAATCTAGCAGCCGGCCTAAATAGCTACTATAAAATCTACAATAGGGTAAATAATTATTCCAACCTCCCCTCCCAAATAAAGCCCCTAACCACTACAAAAAAAACTACCCAGTCAGTAACTACTAACTACTAACTAATCGACCCATAGACTTATACTTACTAGTTACTACTTAGTACTTAATGTCTTAATAGTTAATACTAAGTATAACTGATTGAGGCCTATGAACACGCTCAACACGGGCACGCGGCCGATGAATCAACAAAGGTCCATGCATCATGGCGTAAGTGACAAATAAGTTTGTTCTTCCAAGCCATGTGGCGGGCGACGTTATCAGTGTCCGACCGACGATAGTTTGTAAACAGTTATACACAACACTACTGCAGCTCGGGCTCCTCTCGTGACGTTCGGCGCCGAGAGGGAATCCAATATTCCAATGTGAACTACACTAACAACTACACCTAATCTACCCATCCCGTTTGTTATTTATTTACTAATATTGTATTATGTTGGCCGGGACTACACGAACGATAATAACGTTAGGTCCTCAGAGTGTGTACACGGCACGACAACGGCTCCAATCCGTCGTACCTACTGACCGTTCGTCGTCTTCAGTCTCCATTTAACGTCCGTCAACAAGAAGTGAAAACAGAACCGGTTGCTGCTTGTCTTCATTGAGCAACTTGGTGATCGCGACTGCTTGGCCACCCGCGATCCCTCGACAGAATCAAATTGAATCACCACCACAATCCAATTCATTGTTCTCCTACTTGTACTGCATGATGATCTGATTCCGTTGGACATAACATCTAGACGGTAAGTGTTTACCTACATCATAAATTTTTTACTTCATTATGCCCACTACTTAGTGTGTAACCTTCATTATGATTTGTCCATGGGGACAACGGATATACTGTGGTTTGGAATATTTTTGAAATACCATTAGCCCAATGACAGTTTTATCAATCACAAGTCCACTAGAGTTACTTAGATCAATTCAAATTACATCTAAGCTTATAAAAATGTTTTTAGATATATTCAGTATTCATTTAAGAAAAACTGACCACTATAATTTAAAAGTACCTAGCCCAGCCTAATTTTTTTATGATTTTATTAGGTATACAAAAATGTGATTTAGTGGTTTTTATTAACCAGTCAACAAACAATAGGTACTTTTGTTTAATAAAATTATAATTATTTTTTGTTATAATGTAGACATAATATGTCTAATATCAGATTTGGTTTAATTTTACTTTCAAATATTATGTTTTGTTATTTTAATAATAACCTAATAACTACCTATTCAGAATTATTTCTCGAATAAATGAAAATATACCAATTAAACTTGGTTCTTAAATTTGTATATTATTATTAATTTCAATTATTTTGACTTATTTAAATAAAATGTATTTGTTATAAAATAATAAGTGCATAAATAATTTAAATCTATGTTATCTACACTTAAGTAGTAACCTATTTATTGTTTTCTAATAAAAACCAAGTAGAACCTATTATTATCTCACTATATTTTGTCAAATAATGTATATGTTTTTACTTCATTTATTTTATCTATCCAAATGGTAGATAATACATTAATGCCCTAGGAATTTAGTACACATGATTATTATTGTTAAAACCAAAGGTTTATTAAAGGTTTATTATTTAATATTTTCTAACTTAACATTTACAAACAAAAATATATATTTGTCTACAAGTTCTATTTTTAAGTACCTAAGTATAATTAAACTTTATAGATGATAAACAATGGTAGCAGTGGAGTAGTATTGCTCCTCAGCTGTCAGAAAAAACAAGGAAAAGAAAAGTTTTACTTAAATACTTTATTTTATTTTACAATTAGAAATTTAAGAATTAGTCAATTTTCATACTAAAATTCTATAAAAACTAAAAATCTTTTTTAAATAAGTTTGAATCATAATTTTAATTTAAATCGTAGTTAATTGAGACATCAACATAAAAATTGCTTAGATATCTATGATTGATTTTATAATCATATTTGTTCTAGTATCATTTGTGGTTCGAAATCATCACCATGTCGAGTTATAATGAGTATCAACATTGGCCCCAAGAATCCACATCTAATTCAGATGAAGATGAATTGTCATCTCCTGAAGTTGAACAAGAAGATAGTGATGATGATGATACTGAGTCATCTACATCTAGTACCAGTACTTCAGCTACAAGTAGTAGTGGCAGCAGTCAGTCAGGTTCAGATTCTGAAAGCACTAGTACTGCTGATGAAGACGAAACTATATCTCTGAAAACTGAAACAGTGTTAGCCAATAAAACTGAGCTTAGTTTACCAGCTGGAATGTGTGAAGATGAAGAAGTTTTCAAACAATTGTTTTCTGTTAATTCTTGGGTATGCCTAAGTGATCAACAAAAGCAACACTTAAAGGTAAATGGTGTACACAAGCTTTTGTCTTACCTTTTATCAAATTCAAAATAATCATATTCTTAACTTCAAAAGATTAATACAATTTGGTTCTATAGAATTTTTTACCTACATTTCCTGAAAATGATCTAATGGAAAAAGAAATTACCTTAAGAATGCTCTTTGGTGGACAGAGTTTTCGGTTTGGTGTTAATCCAATTGATGATTTTCATGATAAATTAAAAGATGGACATTTTCGACCTGATATTGTCAAAATGAAATCACTTTTACGACGATCACTCAAGAGAGAGTATAGGTAAGAATTATTTCAACAATTTTATTTTTTCTTATGTTTTGATTTTAATGATGGTTTCATATCAATATTTCAGAAAAAATCAACGTATATATAACTTCAATATGTTAAAAAAATTACTTTCCGGGCGTAAAAAGGTTATTGATGGTTTAAATGATTCTTCTACAAAACCCATGACAAATAACGAAGATAGTAAAAGTTTTACTTTGCATCAACAAGTTAAAAGAAGATATTTCCGAGAGCTTTCTGATATTAAAAATTTATTAGG